GGCAACCTGGCAGTATCCCAGCCCTCGTGCTTCCTTCTGGTGGCATGGCAGTTAGGCACCGAAAGGGTGTCACGGCTGAACGACTTTCTATGCTTTATTTTGATTGATGCTTTCGGCAAGAGCTTCAGGTATTTAAAAAACCTCCACTACCCAATCGTGTTTTCCGTGCAATAGACCCCATTTTCCGCTGACACAATATCTGCAATTGATTTGAGAAAATGCAGTCCAAACTTGGCCTAAGAACTACTATTCTTCAGATAAGGCTTAAAAGGCTTTTCGAATATACCGAGGATGAAGATGACGTCGAAAGCGATTTCAAATGTGATCCAAGTAATTTCCACGACGAAACGCGCCACCGCAGAAGCATAATAGTGATCCTCAGTGAACTAACTAACTACTCATAAGGTTGCTGAATACTCTTAGGTGGTCCCTATAATCAACACCATGAATACTTTCGTCCAAATACTATACTGTGATATCTCGAATACCGTACCAATTAAGACATGAGGCAATGTTTGTAGAACACATCCAGCGGAACGGTAACATACGCGAGAGATTCAGCTGGGTTTTGGTTGAGCCTCTTCGTTTAAAACCAGGCTAACGTACAACTGAGTGCATTCCCGAGCAGTTATTTCACCGTTTTAGGGACGAAAATAAAAATTAAAAGGTTTTCAGGGGGTCCGATTTCGCAGAGTGAGGGTGCACGTGCGATTTCTTCGATCAGAACGTCACCGGGGTCTTTTTTTACCTCATAAGTTTCTCTTGTAGTTGTCAATTGTTTAGTGTGCACAGCTTTATATCATTCGTTGTGTTGATCTCATCTAAACCATAAATTTCTTCTCACTTACACAGTCACACTGACATTCTTTTGGGATCGGCCGACCTCTTGCATATCTCATGCGAACTCATCTCGCTTTATTATGTAATCACTTTGAACTTGCCAAGTTGAGAAACAGTGTGTCAGAAGGGACCGGTCTGCCGTCTAAATTATCTGGCAAGCTCGACCAAAGTCATCGAAAGAATAGTCGCGACTATCGATTATGAAGAATGCGTAGGTCGTGTATCCTAGATCGACAGAATGTTTCCCTATGTGCCATTGCTCGAAGATATTTTCGGAGTTCGTGAAACGCGTTAGCTCCTTTTGTGGTTTTGTTGGTCCCAAGTAGTAAAAAAACATAAACGGGAGCTTCAGTCGAGTCTCTCGTGAAAACCAAATTGATTTGCAAATGAGTGTATTTCTCGAAAGCAGTCCAATTTTGGTTCAAGTAGATCATAAGGTTGACGGAAACTCGGGGACTGTGCCTACCTGATGAGTCCCAAGAAGGGCGAAACCGGTCTTGGGCTGTCGAAGAGTTTTCAGCAACCTTGTGAATAGTCTCCTTTATGAAAATAACTCTACTGGTTTTACTCCCGCAGACATGTTCTTGAGAATGAAGAAACATTTGCTATTTATTCAGGCCTTATAGGGCCTGTCTGTCTGTCTTTAGTTTGGGAATTCCCTAAACATTCTTGCTACCTGCTGCTTGCTATGAATCATTCGCAAATCAAGTTCGTTTATGTGGACAAAACGGAGAGAACAACCGGAAATTTGTACTTGTTTGTGTGTATGTTGTGAAACTGCTGCGTTTGTCATTAACCTTATGCTGTGAATAACATTAGATTTCCTCTACTACATTTTGTACCAGCAAAATTTCAGCAGCATCTGCAACATTGTCCTATCGGTTTCAAAAAGCCGGTATCCATTTGACATTTTATTTTTTACTAAGGTTCCAAACCGAAGATGTGGGTGAAGTAGATCATCTTCTGGTCACCGAAAGTGCCAGTCACGTAAGAGACTTGATAGGCGCTCCAATCTTCATAATTGTTCGAGAAGAGCTTAAATGCGTCTGCTCAAATTGGCTGTGATAGTCGTGATGCACTACTCATAAGGTTGCTGAAAATTCGTCAAAAGCCCAAGGTTCGTTTTGCCCTTCTTGGGGCTCATCAGGTAGGCGCAGGTAGGCGCATTCAACCTTATGTTCTACATCACAAACAAGCGATTCAGTTGGGTTTCAGGTGAGACTCTCGCAAAACCAAATTGGTTTGAAAATAAGTGCATTCTGCTAGCTCCGGTATCGTTTTTGAGTCAAATGATCCGGGTATTCTTCAATACTAGTTGTAACAGATGAAAAAAATGCACACTTGGCCCAAATGGGGTCCAAACTTGCTTGGATATATCGTTAGGGATTTCGAAGTGTCATCACATCGTACGAAGTGCTATTTATCTAAACTTTCCAAACGTGATGCGAATGAATCCTAGAATTATTATCTTTATATCGTTATTCGAAGTGTCATCACATCGTACGAAGTGCTATTTATCTAAACTTTCCAAACGTGATGCGAATGAATCCTAGAATTATTATCTTCTCAAAGTCGTCTGACAGTGGATGAACCAATTTTCCCGGACGATGGGATAATCAACCAATCATCAATGAATTGATCTTTTCTGTTTTCGCTGTTTATCAGTCCGGTTGTGCGCCACTGTTTACACTAGTTCTAAAACTACGCTACTTGTACCACGATGCAAATCAAATCCCTCATCTCGTTCAATCTGTATATGGGGCGATTTTTTCTCGTTTGTTTATATTTCCCTCTCCCATCAGAAGCAAACAAACAAAAATTTGTGAAAATTTATTGCCAGATATGTTTACAATGAACCTGGTTTAATCTCATCCTATTCACGATGGCGGACCGGACCATCATAATATTCCAAGCAGTTTGTGGAAGAGTAGCACTCATCTGGGAACTGCGAGAGGAAGGTATTTTCCCCGGGTACTATCATAATCCTTATCAGACTTGCACTGTCTAAGACTGGCACGAAACCAGGTGTGGATGATCAGAGTGATGATGTTATCAATCCGACAGAAAGTGATTTCAGCATTAGATAAACATGTGATTCTTAGCTAGACAAGTGCGCACTGAGATTCCGCGTCAGTGCGCCTTACTTTATCTCCATCTAGTTTAAAGACGGACAAATCACACTGAATTTGTTCCCTGAAGTGCTAAAAAAAGTTGGATCAACGTAAACTTTTTGAATCGTTTCTGTTTCAAACGTTATGTTCTGATATGCCTTGGTTTTT